CTTGTTAGAAACCTCAGCCTCCGGGGCCGGCGCTGGTGCTGTGGCGCTGTAGGTTCATCCTCTGCCTGTGACACCAGCATCCCATGCGGGCACCAGTTCAAGACCCAGCTGCTCCACTTCCGATCCAGCTCTCTGCTGTGACCTGGGAAAGCAGCAGAAGATGGCCCAAGTCCTTGGGCCCCTGTACCCACGTGTGAGACCCGGAAGAAGCTCCTGGCTCCTGGCTTCAGATTGGTGCAGCTGCGGCCATTGCAGCCAATTGGGAGTGAACCAGCGGATGGAAGACCTCTCTTTCTCTCTCTCCCTCTCTGTCTCTCTCTCTCTCTGTCTCTCTGCCTCTCAAAGAAAAAAATCTTTAAAAAGTAAAATAAATAAAAATAAAGGTGGTCCCTGGCGCCACCATGGGGGCGGGCGGGGCCCCCTGAGCGCTCTGACCTCGCGGGGGCGTCAGTGTGGATATTACAAGAACAGGGCGTTCAATTTCCATGGAGTGGGCTGCTTTTCTGGTAGGAGTCATGTACTTACTTGAAAAGTAGAGTGACGGGGAGAGAGATGGAGAGACCAGAAACGGACCAAGGCTACATCCCCAGCGCCCTGCTCCACGTCCTGCCGACCCCTGGCCGTGGTCCTCACCCAGGGCCTGGCTGGGGCGGTTGATAGATTTCGTGTGACTTCCTGAACCCTGCAGGAGACCATCCTTCCAAAGCGATGGCCCGTGGGCCAGGGAAAGGGGGGCCCTGGTTTTGCTGAGGCCCAAGTGTGCCTAGGCTGCAGCCTCTGACGAGCTAGAAATTCTGTTTCGCTCAGCAGCTCCTCCCCGCGGCGGTCAAGGTTGTGGCTGCGTTCGGCTCGGCCTTGCAGGCGGACAGGTCCCCTTGTACGGCGCCTCCGGCTAAAGGAACCGGAGCTCAGGAGATGGGAAACTTGGGGTGAGGGAAGACCCCGTAGCCCAAGCCGGAAACACCAGCCACACTGCGGGACGGGGCACTCGGGGAGCAGGAGACCAAGGGTGGGCTGGGGCCCGGGGTACCAGGAAGTCGGCAGGAAAACGAACGATTCAGTCGCCGAATGGGCTCGGGACACACAGAAGGCATTTCACGGTGGGGTGGGCACGGTGCAGCACCTCTGAATTCAGGGTCTCCGGCCCCGTCCGCAGGGCGATGCTGGCTCACGCCCGCGGCTTGACTGGGCTGCTGCCTCTCTGGGCTCTGGGGCCCCAGCGAGTCACTGCCAACCCCTCTTGGGCGAGCAGAGGACCCCGAGTAGCGGCTGCACTCACAGCGCTGTTTGGAGCCCAACCCGGCTTCCTGGGACTCAGGGGCCCCCTCCCAAGCAGCCCCTTTGGCTGCAGCTCCTGAGCTCGACCTGCAGAACTGGGGGGGGGAGGGAAGAGGGGTGGTAGGGGAGAGAGAGAAGGGACCCTGGCCAGACCCTACCCCTGCAGGCGCCTGCTTCCCGCTCCCCCACCCCCACCATCTCCTTAAAGCTCAGAGCAGCCGAAGGGAGGGGTGCAGGCTCTGTTCCCCTCTCCTCCCACGCTGCGGCCCAGCTGTCCAAGCCGCAGACACTGAGACCAGCTGTGGCCGGCCCCGCCTCCGGACGCCTGGGCTAGGACCCGATGGGCCGGGAGCTTCTTCCCTTCCTGCAGATCGGGCCGGCAGGGGCCACGCCCAGTGACAGCGCTGTGCCCGGGGGTCTCTGTTGCCTTCCCCAGCCTGCGTGCACATGCAGGTGCGCTGGCATCTCTGGGCTTGGGGCCCCCTCGCAGCTCTGCCGGGCGTCTCCAGCGCCCTGCTCTCCTCGTGGGGACGGCACTGTTCCCTGGGGCTGTCCTGGAAAGAGAGGTCCACGGGGGAGTGACCTCGCAGCAGGGTCACACTCGGAACCCGGGCCACCCGGGCACCTCATTACTCCGCCTCTGTCGGTGACAGCAGACTAAGAACGAGTGTTTGTTTGCAGGGCCCCACCAAGAGCACAGCACTTCACACGGCCTGTGGCTGGGTCCCCAGCCCAGAGGTGGGCTCAGCACGTTTGTAGCAGGAACAGTTTGCCAAGTAGAGATACCACCGGGCGACGCCCGTGCCTTTCCAGGTGTCGGCGAAATCTGGCAGCGGGCGCTGAGTCACAGACACCCCCCACCCCCACAGATCCGCCCTTGGTTGATGAGCTCACTCGGGGCCCGGGAGTGGGTCGGGCCTTGGATCAGGCAGGGGTCCGAGGAGCGGAACCGACAGGGTGTGTGTGGGGAAGGGTGCAGCCTGGGGAGCTGGCTCCTGCTGTCGGGAGGCCAGGGAGTTCAGGCTGGAAGCTGAAGCAGGAGTTCTGTGCCTGGGGCTCATGGTCATTAATCCCAAGGGTCGGTGGAGTGGGGGAGTAGCTCCTCCTCCCCCCAGCCCAGATCCCAGAGCCCCAGAGCCACTCCCACAACACGGCCCAGCCTGCGACTGTCCACCTCTCGGGGTGGGCCAGGGAGGGACGGTCATGCCCATTTTTCTGATGAGAAAACTGAGACCCTGGCATTCAGTGAACTTGCAAAGGCCGAGCTTTGGCGGTGCAGCCAGATCTACAGATTTTTTCCTCCACTTCCGGGTGCCTACAACCACCTTCCAAGAAGTCTCTCAGGAAACAGAAGGCAAACATGTTAAATCCGGTGCAAAAAAAAAAAAAAAAAAAATGAAATGCACGCATAGGTTTTTCATACTTTGCATTTACCATAGAATTTCTGAAGACCCCACCCATGTCCGGTTGCGGCGGGGGTGGCCAACTGGTGACGCCGCCATGTGCAAGCTGCCTGCCTGCAGACCCATCTCCGAGACCCCGCGTGGAGCCGATCCAGTGTAGACCCCTTTTACAGGCGGGAAAACTGAGGTGCAGAGAGAGAGAGAGAGAGAGAGAGGAGTTGGGTTAGACGTGGGTCTTGAGTCTCTAGTCTCTTTCCAGGGGTAAATGCACAGCCCCTTCTCCCTCTCTCTCCCCCTCTCCACCCCGGCCCCGTCACACATGCTGGGGGGCCTGGTACCTCCACGCGTCTGAGACACCCATATGGGCAAGGATCTGTTTCTCACCCGTGTGTGTTAGGACAAGTGCTGCGGGGGTCGGGGGCAGGCTGCTGGAATCCGGAGTCCCGGGCAGTTCCAGCCGGCGTCTCAGTGAGGGGAGCCAGGGCCCCAAGCCGGGCAGGCAGGGCCTCGTCCGGTCACAGAGCCCGGTGGGGCCAGGAGCTGCCTCTCTGGTGCTGTCTCCAGGGCCCACCCACGGGGGTGGGGGTGGGGGTGGGGGTGAGGGAGCCCTAAACCCAGCCGGCCGGATCCGGATCTGGAGCGCCTGCTAAGGGGATCCCGGGGATTCTGGCCTCCCCTGGTTTGCTGGGCTGGCTGGGTGGACACCAGCCTCTCTCGTGCACCTGCCGTTCCCTCTGTGCCCTGTGGATCCGAAGCCAAGGGGGACACAGGGGTGTTAAAGCCAGGAAGCCGCCGCCTCCGTTTCTCCGGCCGCTGGACCATGCAGGCCTCGCCCCGTCTGTGGTCTGTTTCGCGGATCGCAGTTCTGTCCACGCTCCTAAGCCACCGACTTGTCCCAGCCAAGGGTAGAAGCGAGGCGGGGCGGGAGGAGGGGGTCAGGGAGGCGGGGCCTCTGCAGCCCACCAGCCACTTCCAGCAAGCCACGGAGGGCTCTGGCTCTGTGGCCAGCACCCAGGTCAACGGGGAGGGGGGGACACAGCCTTGGCCCCCCGCATCCAGGAGCCCTCCTGGGTCCCCAGGTCTTTCGAGGAAGAATCACCATGGCTGGGGGCAGGGAGGAGGAGCATGGGGGGTGACAGCCGCCCCCCCAGTCCCCAGAAGCCAAGTAGGAGCTCCTGAGTCCCCCACAACCCTACCATGCCCGCTGCGTGCCTGGGGGGGCCTGGGGGGGCGTCCTGGCGGGCTGAAGCTTTGAGATGAGCAGCAGAGAGAGAGGCATGCCGGCGTCTCTACAAAGTAGCTATTTCTTCATCAGATAATTACAGCTCTGGGACACGCGCGCCTCAGGGGTCACCAGCCCCACCGGCTAATTCATCTTCCGCCTCCCCGCGCCCGCCACTCCCTCCCACCGACCGCACCCGTGGCTGCGGGGGAGCGCTTTGAGAAAAAAGGCATGTCTGGCCTAGACCTTCACCCACCGAAACCTTCGACCAGCTGCCCGTCAGTCTCCCCTCCCCCACTCCCGGCGGCCCCCCAGTGGGCCCCAGTTCTGCCATGAGGCAGGCAGCCCTGGCCCTATTCCACTCCTGTTCACGCAGGGATGGGTGCGTGTTTTCTCTCCAACCACAATGCCTCCCCCACCGGACTGGCCCCCTGCAGCCCAGCCCGGCTCTCTGTGCGGGTCACCTCCCCCTGACCGTGGTTCTCCAAGTCCCATCTGCCACGTGCCCATCAGAGTCCCTGCTCCATACCTGGCACCAGGGTTCACCCGCCAACAAAATGCACAAACCCCGCCCTCACCGCCATCCCCAGGCTGCCGCCGCCCAGGGCTGATTTGGCGCTCAGTGGGGAGCAGACACCTTGCTGACTGATGGGTGATGCAGCCGTGGGTGCTCAGGCTGGAGGCTCCGAGGGGCGGGCGTGTGCACGGTGGTTTGAGCCTCTTCTTGGGACGCCTGCTTCCCGTATCAGGTGCCTGGGTTCAAGTCCCAGCTCCAGCGTCCGGTCCAGCTCCCTGCTAATGCACACCCTGGGGGGCAGCAGCCGATGGCCCAGAGACCTGGATCCCTGCCACCCATGTAGGAGACCCCGATGGAGTTCCTGGCTCCTGGCTTCAGCCTGGCCCAGCCCCAGTTGTTGTAGACATTTTGGAAGATCTCCCTTTCTCATTCACTGTCTCTCTGACATTCAAATCAAAAGTTGAAATAGAAAGCAGGCTTAGAGGCACAGCAGAGGGGAGGAGAGGGTCCTGAGGACAAGGCCCTGAAGGTTGAGTAGGAGTTTTCTCGGTGAAGACGCTGGGGCTCTCTTCCCTTCCAGAATGCATGAACTGCACCCGGCTCAGCGACATGAGCGAGCGCCTGACCACGCTGGAGGCCAAGGTCAGCCGGGCTGGGGGCGGGGCCGGGAGGCTCGGACACCTGCTGGGGGCCCCAGGCTTCGGGTGCTGCTGAGGGTGGCTCTGGGTGGGGAGAGTGGCACAGGGAGACACCTGAGGGTCCCGGGCCAGCGGGCACGGCTGTGGCCGGGCTGCATGGTGCTGGGCTCCCCGGCCCCGGGGCCGAGGGCCTGGCTACCTGGGCCCCCTCTGCTCTGGACAACCGAGGGGACTGCTCCTGCAACTCCTGGCAGTCACCCTTGTACAAGTGGGCAGGGGCCCGGGATGGGGGGGCGGGAGGTTGAGGGGGTGGACGCCGCCCCTCAGGCCGAGGCCGCCCCCGCTGCTGGGAGCGGCGTGGGCGTGGGCTCCTGGCTCCTGAGCTCCAAGAGCAGGCAGGGCCGGCCTGGCACTTGCCGCACACCTGCTGCCGTGCGTGGTTTGGCACCGAGCAGCTGGAGCGGCTGCTGACAGCTTGGTCTGGCCCCGGCCCAGCACCGTGGGTGTTAGAAGTCGCAGCTCCAGGGGAATGGGTGGGGCCCTGAGCCAGCTGGCCCCACCCGCCTGGCCCTGGCCCGTGCCCTCCTGCCTCCAGCCCTGACGCTTCCCCCTGCCCGGGGCCCCTGGCATCCTGCACAGACAACAGGTGGGGGACCCTGAAAGGGAGGTCTTGTCCCTGCTGGGGGCCTTCGGGCTGGGGCAGAGTCAGCAGGGTGGGGGAGGGGCCCGGATGCCCGCCCCGGCAGGTCCTCTCCCCCTGCAGTCTGTCTCCTCGGCTGTGTGGCAGGGACATAGAGGAGCCGCCCCCCTACCCACCCACCTGCCTGCTTCTCACCCTCGGGGCCACCGGGAGGGGGTGGGGCCATGAGCAGGGGGCAGGCGGGGGTCTGCAGGAGTCCAGGAGGACTGGGAGCGGGTTGGGGGGGAGGGTGAGCTCAGCACAGAGGCTGGGGAGCCGGCAGGTGAAGGCGGAGCCGGGGCAGGTGGCCTTGGGGTGGGGGGTGGGGGCGGCTCAGCCACCGAGCTCTCCACCTCCCTCCCCTCCACTTCCTGGACCATGTCTCATGGCTACAGAGTGGCTGCTGCCCCTCAAGGCACCACATCCTCACACTGTGTTCCTCGTTCAAAGGCAGGAAGTATGTAAAGCCAGGCACTCCCAAAGTAGACTCCCTGTGTCCCCAGGGCCAGCACTGGGCCCTGGGACTCTCCCGGTTGCAAACATTATGGTGACTGGCTTGAGCGACACACACAGGTGCACAACAGGGGGTTCTGGGGCAAAGCAGGAAGGGGCAGGTGGGGACAGGTGACCAGCAGGGCCCCTGCTGGTCCCCCAGGGACTTCTGACCCCTGAGCCAGCAGGCTCCGGAACATTCCCTGCCTATCCCCCCCCCAACCTCATGACTGCCCTGCGTGCCATCACCCGAGCCGCAGAGTTCGGCCTCTCCCTGGCGCAGGGCGGCGCTGTCCCGCCTCAGTGACGTCATTGGGGCCGCTGCCCCCGCTCCAAGGCTGCGGTCTGGCTCTCCCGGCCTGAGTGCCCACACCCACGCTGCCCGCCCTGGTGAGCTCATGCCGGGTGGGAGTAAGAGGCTGGCCAGAGCCGGGCCCAGAGGGCTGGGACCCTGGCGAGGGCCAGGGCCCCTCTGCCCAGGTCCCTGGGCTCCGTGGGAGGGGGCCCAGGAAGAAGGGAGCCAGGCTTTGGGGCCACGGGGGGGCCCTCCCAGGGCTGACTCCCCAGGACCTCCAGGCTGCTCTCCACACCTCCCTCCTCCCCAGCCAACCTCTGCTGCCCCCCCATCCTCAGCCCCTCCCCCGCTGCAGCTCAACCTGACCGCACCTGTGGCTGCCCCTCCTCCCCGCCCCCACCCACTGCCCTGGGTCCCCCCATCCCCGGCTGCTCCTCCACCACCCACAGCCCCAGTCTTGGTCGTGGCCAGCCAGCGTTGCCCAGGGCCTGGGGCAGGGATCAGAGCCGTCCCTTCCTCCCGGGCATCTTAGGGGTCACTGGCCAGGTCCACACGTCACTGGGTGACCGCTGGCTGTCTCCGGGTCTGCCTCATCTATGATGTGGCCACCAGAACCCTTCCTGTCCCTTGGGTCCCTACGAGGACCAGAAAGGAGAGGGACTCAGGTGGCCCCGGGTATGGGTGGGCAGAGGGAGACCCCAGTCAGTGGAAGAGGTGCTCAGAGGGGCCCTGCACCCCGCGCACCCACAGAAGCTGGGCCCGGCCTGCGTCTGAGGGCTGTGAGGTGGCTCATTGTCCCCTGTGTCAGCAGGAGTCACTGGGCCGCCAGACCCCTCTGTCCCCCCACCCCCCAGCCCATGGAGTGGCCCTGCAGCCATCGCTGGCACGCAGCGCCCTCTGCTGGCGTATGTGGGGGCAGCAGGGAACCCCAGGCCCCAGCAAGCATGAGTGTAGGCTGTGGGTCTGGTGGGCTTTGAGCCCTGCCCCCTGGAGGGGAGGGGCTAGGACACTTGATCTCTCCCCTCCTCCTCCCTCTCTTTCTTCTTCCCTCTCTCCCTCCCTCCTGCCTTCCAGACACAAATGTGCCCTAGCCACGGAGTTTATGCCCTGAGCCAGGCAGCGAGGGGCCCATGCCCACACGAGCGCTCCCTGCGGGGACCTGGGCAAGTGTGTTGGTTGCTCACCCTGTCGCTCTCACCCCCTGACAGGTACAAGGGACAGAACCCGAGGGACCTGGCAGAGGGCGCTGAGACCCCACTGGGGTGCATAAGGGCCCAGGCACAGCCGTGGGCAGTGCAGGCATCACCGGGCGCGTGACCTGCACACGCATGGCCCCGCACACACGTGGCCCCGAACACTGGCCTGACCCTCGACCCCTCTCCCTCCCAGGTTCTGCTTCTAGAAGCGGCCGAGCGGTCCCCAGAGCCGGACAACGACCTGCCAGCCGTGGGCAGCACGGCCCCGCCCTGGAACCAGGACTTTCTCCCCGGCGCCATCCCTCTCGCCTACCCGGGGTCCCCCAGGAGAAGGCCCACGGGCCCAGCCGGTGAGCGGGGCTGCCCACTGGGGCCACACACGCACACACATCCCAGGCCTTACAAAGCGGCAGTCATGGCCTCCGTGGCTGGCGGTCCTTGGGGGAAGCCGGCGGCCACAGCTGAGTCACCGGCACCTCTGTAGGTGCAGTCCTGGCGCTGGTCTGCCCCAACCCCTGCGGGGGACTGGGGCTCACTGTCCCCACGCCACATGCTTCCTGGGGTCCCCCGATGAACCCTGCAAACCGAGTAGTGGTCGCGTCCATTCGCGGCCTCGTGCTAGGCCTGTGCTGGCGCTGGCCCCCAGGCACGTGTCCGGCTCACACCTGCCAGTCCAGCGGGGGTGGAGGCCGGTGGGGATGCACCTGGTGGCGCCTGTGCTGTGCCCATGTTTTATAGCACCCCCAAGCACAGCTCTGAAGTCTGGGGACACCTTCGAGTGTGGCTCGAAGACATGAGTGGCTCCGCTCGGGTTGTCCGGCAGCCAGGGCCTGTCACCTGCCTGGTCCCCAGCTGTACTAGAGGCCCCTAGCTCTGCCCCCAGAGTCAGCGGGCCAGTCCCCCCCTCCCCAGTCCTGTATGTGTCTGCCGGTTCTGGTGCTGGGTTCTGGGACCAGGGCAGGGGGGAGGAGAGGCAGGTGTCTCTCGTTCCGCTAAATTGGCTGAAGTGGGGGGGGATATCCCAAAACCCCCCAGGTGGGGGGGGGGTTGTCTCCCACTGGGAAAGTGCAGTTCTCAGAGTGGCCACCAGGTGGCGCACATACCCTGCAAATGGTGACGCCTGGGTTCCATTCTGGCTGGCCCTTCCTCCCAGGCCTGAGTCGGCACAGTCCCAGCCAGCAGCACCCTGAGGGCCGGCGCAGGTCCCTCCAGCACATCAGCAAACCCAGAGTGACAAGGGGCTGTCCCCAGGCCACTGCGCGGCCCTCACATGTCCACCGTTGGGACCCGGAGCGCGGGGCTGGGCGGATGCATCCTCTGGGGCTCCCGGGGTCTCCTGTGCCCCGAGGCCCGTTCCTGACCCAGCGGGGAGGCGGTCGGTCCGAGCAGAGTCATCAACCCGAGCCATGGCCCTGAGCAGACCTGGCGGCCTGGAAGCCATCATGACCGACAGCACCGGGCGGCAGTCGGGGGCCTTGGCTTGGGACATGGGGAGCTGGCCTGGGCCTCATATTCTCTCTCCCCAGGGCCCCCGGGGCAGACGGGACCACCAGGGCCTGCAGGCCCCCCAGGCTCCAAAGGTGACCGAGGTCAGACAGGAGAGAAGGGCCCGGCGGGGCCTCCTGGTATGGACACACATGCGCCTGGCGGCACCCATGGGGAACGGGGAGGGCAGGCTGGGGACGGGCGGGGTGGCCCATTCCCCACCTGGGGCAGCTGCAGGTAGGGGGCCACCAGGGTCTGGGCTCCCTCCAGCCACTGAGGTACCTCCAGGACCCCCGCCCCCCTGCCTACCCATCCTGGGTCCTGTAGGGGAGTGGCCCCCGGGCAAGGCAGGGACAGGGCTGGCCCAGGCAGGCTGCCAGCTTCAGTGTACCCGCCCTGGGAGGGCGCCCCCTGCTGGCTCCACAGTCGCTCCTCCCTCCCCTGCAGCCAGGAGTGGAGCCCTGACCTGCCCAGGGCCTCAGTTTCCCCGTCGGTAACTCGCCGAGCCCTGGCCTCATGGCACCTCCCTCTCTTCCCTGTCACAGGGCTCTTGGGGCCACCGGGGCCCCGGGGGCTTCCTGGAGAGATGGGGCGCCCCGGCCCCCCAGGACCCCCGGGCCCAGCAGGCAGCCCGGGCCTCCCCCCAGACGGCCCCCAAGGCGTCCTCTACTCCCTGAAGCCCTCTCCCGACAGCGACGGTCAGTGCCGGGCCCGGGGGCGGGGGCTGGAGCCAGGTTGTCCTCTGGGGAGCTCCGGGGGGGACGGGGACCCGAGCACCGGGGCCCCCAAGGGCGCGCATCACGGGGAGATGGAATCGGAAGCCGAGCTGGGCCTGGGACCTGGGCACCCCCATGTGGGCTGTGGGGGTCCCCGGAGGCAGCCTGACCCCTGCCCCAGAGGCTAAGTGCATGCCCCAGGATCAACCTGAAATCCAGAGACCCCCAAGCCCCTCCCGCCAGGCAGCAAGGCCCCGAGCTGAGCATTGACACTGAGCCTGAAGCCCCCCCGCCCACTCTGCCTCAGTTTCCCCGTCTGTAAGGCACAGACAGGAAGCTACTGTGGAGTTGAAACTCAGCCCCAGCCAGGGCTGACCCCAGCAGGGAGGGGCGGGGTGAGGCGGGGTTCCCGCCCTGGGTGGTGGTGGGCGTAGCATCGCTCGTGGGAAGCGACAGGCAATGCTGGTCTGGGGGCCAGTGCTGCCCTGGCTGGGCTCAGCCCCCTGCGTCTACACTGCCCCTTTCCTGGAGAACTGGGCTGGGGGCGTTCAGGGAGGGGCAGGGGGCTGAGGCAGGGGAGCTGGGGGCCCTGAGCCCACGGCACAGCCCAGGCCCGGGCCAGGCCTCTGTGTGTGGAGGGTCCCACTCTCACCTAGACCCTGTGCTCTGGCTCTGGGCGTGGGACAAGCTGAGGTCCTGGGGTGGGGCTTGGGAGACAGCACAGGTCCAGGGCGTTGGGGCAAGGCTGGGGCATCTGGAATGTTCTGGAAGGAGCTTGATGGACAGTTGGCCTGCCTCCCCCGCCCCCCCCCCCCGGTGCGGCCAGCGCCGTCCCCCCATCGCCGGGCGCTCTGCTCTCTCCACAGATGGCGACTCCCAGCTGACCCCTGCGGTCATGGACACAGTGCTGGCCGGTGTCCCCGGCCCCCGGGGCCCCCCTGGCCCCCCAGGCAAGTGGACAGGGCAGCAGCTGGGGCCAAGGACGTGGCTGGGCGAGGGTCTCCATCCCCCAGAGGGTGCTGGGGCCTGGGGCCTGGGCCTGCCGTGGCTCCCTGTGTAGTGCGAGAGGAGGCCCCAGCTCCCTGGGGACAGCTCCTCCTGGGGCCTGGGCCAGGGGGCAATGTGGGGTCAGTGTCTGGAGGGTGGGGGGAACCTGGACCCCTGTCCCTCCCAGCACCACCTGTGCAGGTGCACAGCTGGGTAACCCACGGGCCAATGAGTGGGCGGGCCTAGCCACCACTCCGTCACTCATTCACTCTTCAATTGTTAGTCATTCTCATTTTACTTAAAATGCAGAGAGAGAGAGAGAGAGAGAGAGAGAGAGAGAAGTCTTCTACCTGTTAGTTCACTCCCCAGGTGCCTGCAACAGCCAGGGCTGGCCAGGCCAAAGCCAGGAGCCAGGAGCTCCATCCGGGTCTCCCACGTGGGCAGTGGGGACCCGAGTGCCGGAGCCATCACGGCTGCCTCCCAGGGTGCACACTAGCAGGGAGCCGGGACTGGATCCCAGGCCTCCGGAGGGGGATCTGAGTGTCCCGGGGGCGGCTTCCCCACCGCCTGTGTGCTGGGCGGGCTCTCGGGGTCCCGGGGTGCCGGAGCACGTGTGATCTTGCAGTTCCATCTCAGGGCAAAGTCACTTCCATGGGCAGAGTGGCTGGGAGGGGGAGGGGGAGGGGGCGGGGCTTCGTCTGGAACGTGAGCCCAGAGGGAGGAGGAGGGTGCTGTGCTTGGAGGTCCCCCCCGGGACTCGGGACTCAGTGGTGTCTCGGGAGGGGGGTCCTGCCCTGCTGCCCATCCCCAGTGTCTTCCCCAAGTCTGGGAGTGGCTCATGGAGCGCAGCCCAGCAGGGGCTCCCCGTAGCCTGGCAGCTCTGGGGACCCTTGGGGACAGAGGCCTCTCTGTGCAGAGCCTGCAGACGTGGCAGGAGACCCGGCCTGACCCTGCAGGCCCCGCCCCGCCCGGCCTCTGGGGGAGACAGACACAGGGACTGTGGACAATCTGCCTGGGGGTGGGTGCAAGGGAGGCTTCCTGGAGGAGGGGTCGTCCAGCCTGGGACCGACAGGAAAGAGCTAGCCTGGAAGGTAGATGGACAGAGAAGGTCCAATTGGCAGCAGCAGGAGTAGGGGAGCTTCCCAGGGGGCTCTGGGGGCTGAGGGCTCAGAGGCACTGGACTGAGGGCCCAAGGCCTTGAGAGAGGCCTCGCCGGGCATGCATTTCCAAGGGGGCCATGCAGAGGGTCCAGGCAAGAGGCTGCTGGAGGCACTTGGGTCCTGACCCTGAGTGGGATGGGCGTGACAGGTGGCATAGCCATGTGAACAGGACCATAGGAGGATCAGGTCCGGGGTGGGGGGGCTGTTCTCCCTGGGGGCATGTGCCATACCCACCCCGTTTGTCCTAAGCCTCCACTCGCTGGCCGGGGGAACCCCCGTTGGCAGGTGCTTGTGGGAGAGGCCCACAGGGTGCAAATCCCCATCGGCAGCTCTGTCCCACAGGTCCACCCGGCCCCCACGGCCCCCCGGGACCCCCAGGAGCACCCGGATCCCAGGTGAGGCCTTGGCTGTCCCTGGCACAGTGCCAGGGGACTCGTGTCTCCTTCCTGCCCACCGTCCCCTTGCCAGGGGGCTGGCAGCATCACTCCCCTTGTGACAGGGTGGTGCCAGCCATGAGCGTGGGCCATGCAGGAGGGCTTGGCGCTGGGGTCCCTGGCAGGGCAGGGGGACTCTGAGGCGAGCCCAGGGCGCTGGCTAGCAGGGCTGGGCCGGGGGGGGTCTACCTGGGCAGCCCTGCCAGAGCTCAGCCCAGTGTCCCCAGGTGGGTCAGGGTCTGCGCCCAGGCCTGAAGCAGCTGCTGCTTGGGAACTGGGGGTCGGGGTGGGGGGTGGAGACCCGTGGAGGGGTGGGTGATGGCTCCCAGGGCTCTTCCTCCCCCCTGGGGTGAAGGGGCTATGCCCCCTGGCTGCCCCATCCTCCTCTGGACCCAGACATCGGAGGGTTAACACAGCCCACCTGGGACCACCGCCCCTCCTGGAGATAGGCCCCAGGCCGCAAGCACTGCCGTCCACCTAGGCCTCACTTCCGGCCACCAGCAAGCCTGCACCTCCTTATCAGCCTTGGCCAGAGACTCAGAGCGGTCAGTTACCTTGGCCGAGGCTGCAGCTCGTGGCAGGGACAGAGCCGGGAGGTCCACCCAGGGCTGCCAGCCTCCGCCGCCTCACTGCCTCCTGGGACAGCCACCAGCGGGGAGCCCTGGGACAGTGCCTGGGACAGCGCCTCCTCACCCAGTACTGACTTAACACCTCCTCAGAAGTGTGCCTCCTCAGAAGTGTGCGCTCGGTGCCGCTGTCCCCATTCTAGAGATGGGAAGACAGAGGCACAGGGAGGGCAGTTCGTGGGACGCTGGCGCTGCTTCCTGGGCCCGGGTCAGAGACGGGGAAGCAGAGCCCCACCAGGCATGAGGTTCCCGGGGCTCCGAGTGCGACTGCTCCCGCCTCGGGCTGCACCGACGCGGGGACCCCCAGGCCATGGCCGGGCCCTGTCCGCAGGCCCTGTGTGCCCCGCACTTCCTGAAGTCTTCAGCCGTGGGCAGGGCGACAGCCACCTGCCGCCCCCTATGGTGCTGACCGCCCCCCTTGCTCCCCAGGGCGAGCCTGCCACGAAGGCCGACGGCGGGGAGAAAGCAGCCAGCGAGGTAACCACACGGCCTGGCTCACGGGGTGGTGGGAGGGGAGGCGGGAACGTGGGCTCCTCCATGGGGCCATGGATCACGCTCCCGGTGCCTCCTGGGCAGTGGACGGAGGTGGGACCCCCGGGCTGGCACACTCAGCAGGGATTCAGCCTGCGACTGGTGGGGGAGGTGGAAGGGAGGGCGGGACTGTGCTGTGTAGGGTGGCCCCATGCCCGCCCCGCCTCCTGCCCCCCAGGGTGAGGGGGTACAGCAGCTGCGGGAGGCCCTGAAGATCCTGGCCGAGAGGGTCCTCATCTTGGAACACATGATCGGGGTCCACGGTGAGCGCCCTGCGGGGTGTGGCTGGGCGAATGCGGGAATGCAGGGGTGGAGGGGTGAGGGTAGGGAGGATCGGGCAGTGGACCGATGCGGGGTGCTGAAAGCGCAGCCCCCCTTCTCCTCGCAGATCCCCTGGCGTCCCCCGAGGGCGGCTCCGGCCAGGACGCGGCCCTGAGAGCCAGCCTCAAGATGAAGCGGGGTGGCCCCCCGTCCGACGGCGTCCTCTCTGCCCTGCTCGGCCCGGACCCTGGGCAGAAGCGCGCCGACCCACCAAGCAGCAGGAAATGAGCCCCACGCCCCAGGAGCAGCCCCGGGCCTGGCCGGAGACCCCGTGCGGGCTGGGGCTCCAGCGTGGACACTTGCGAGGAGTGTTGGGGCCTTGGGGACGGACGGCGCCTCCAAGCACAGGGACTGGAGGGGACAGCATCCCAGGGAGAGCCCCTCCCTCCCCCTGTCCCCCCACACCCTGCAGGCGACAGGGAGGGGGGCCTGGGGAGGCACGGGGTGGGGGGCCGTCCTAACTCTCGTCATTTATGGAGTCGCAGCTGCTCCGGCCTGTCCAGGAGCTGGCCGAGTCGCCTGACTTAATCCTTGTAGCCCTCGTGTTCTACGGGGCGAGGCTCACAGGCTCACGCGCCCCGCCAGGGCTGCTGGACAGAGGATGGCCGGGGTGGGATTCGAACTCGGGCCCCCTGAAGCCTTGTCCTCCGGCCCCTGCTGGATTCCCATCTTCCCTGGAGAAGGTTGGTGGCACCCTGCACCGTGGGCTCATTTCCCCGGCTTGGGGTCTGCTCCACGGGCCTGGGGGGCCAGGCCTACAGCAGGGAGAATCTAAATAGACAGTCGTGTGGACTTGGGGGCCACGGGAGACAGGCACTGGGGGCGCAAGGGTCCCCCAGGCCCAGTTGGCGTCCCCACCGCTACTTCCCAGTCTCCCCCTCCAGCTCCTCCCACCCCAGAGGAGGGGACTGCGTGTGGGAGGCGCCCCTCCCCCTGGGAAATCCCCAGGGTCTGCCCCTTGTGCCAGGTCGGCCACAGACTGGAGAGAGGACAGTGCCTGAGGCCCACCGCCCCGGGCAGCTCCTACCATGGTCCTCAAGGCCTCGTGGGCCCTGCGTCCCCCGCGCCCCGCCTGGCCCTGGCGTCCCTCTCCCGCTGGGCCGTGCTGGGGCTCACAATCAAAGGTGCTGGCGCCACCCTGGGGCGCAACTCCCTCCGTGGCCGGAGCGCCGGTCCCTCCCTGGTGCTGTTGGTTTTCCTGAGAGGCTGTGGCTCCTTGCGGAGTGCATCTCTCTGCGGCCGCGTGCTGTCACATTTGTTACTGTATCTGACAATACAGGTGCTGTCCCCACTGTGTGCGCGTTCCTGGGGTGGTGACAGGTACGGGGAGGCTGGGCTGCGGCGTCCCCTGGGAACCAGAGCCAGCAGTGGCCAGGCTGGGCAGGGAGACCCAGCTCTGAGCCCCAGGGCTGTGCACAGAGGGACCACTTCTCTGCTGCCCAGGCCCGGGACCCCAGGGGAGCCAGCAGCCTCTGGACCCCAGCCGCCGGCCCCACGCCAGTGCCCACCCAAACCAGAGTGCAGCCCCGGCCTGGGGCTCGGAATCCAGGGAGCTGAGGCCTTGGACGGACAACAGCAGCCGGCAGGTGGCACAGGGGACTCCAGGCTGCCCTGGGCCAGGCCCCAAGATGACGGGGCGGGGAGGAGGGAGAGAGAGGGAGACCCAGCCTGCTTGTTTGCTGGTGAAACGGGACTCCTGCTGCAGCCACGGGCTCTGGGGCATGGCTGCCCCCACCCCCACCACTCAGCACCCATGGAACTTGGCAGCCACCCCCGGTGAGGTTCTGTGTGGATGGTGGCCCTCGCCCCATCTGTTCTGTGTCCCAGGGTGGGGGTGGGACGGACACGGACCCTGTGCTAGAAAGAGCAGTGGGGGGGGGCGGGGTCAGGAAGAGCAGGGCTGGGGAGGGAGGGCGGCTGGCAAGTGCCATGTGCCCAGCCAGGTTGGGAGCAGGGCTGGGGTCCAGATGTCAGAGCTCTGGGGACAGAGGGGGCTGCAGGGGCGTCCCGCTGCCCGTGAGAGCTCTCTGCCCGCCAGCAGGGTAGATGGGCCAGGGTACCAGGGGCTGTGGGCCCCGGGGGTCGGGGGGGAGTCCCTGTCCCCAAGGGCTGAGTGACTGTCTCCCTGGGGCACTCCTCCCTAAGATGCGTGTCACCTTCAGCTTCCTTTCAGTGAGCCGGCTCAGGGCACTGGCTCTGCAGAGGGAGGGGGAGGGCTTCAGGCCAGCTCTGTGGGCCGCAGGGGTGGGGCCAGGCTTGGCAGCTGCCAGTGTGGGGGTCACGGAGGACCCCGAATGCTGGAGCGGGGACTCTGTCCTGTACAGACAGGCAGACAGACAGGGTCCCCTCTCCCCACCATCCTGGCCTCTCCTCCACCCAGCCAGCAGCACCAGATTTTCTTATTTAAAGATTTATTTGTCATTTATTTGAAAGGCCGGGAAGGCAGGGACATAGAGAGAGAGATCTTCCCTCTGCTGGTTCACTCCCCAGATGGCCGTAACGGCCAGAGCTGGATCAGGCCAAAGCCAGCTCCATCCGGGTCTCCCACGCGGGTGCAGGGGCCCAGGCTCTTGGGCCATCTTCCGCTGCCTTCCCAGGGGCATTAGCAGGGGGCTGGATTGGAAGTGGAGCGCCCAGGCCTTGAATCGGTGCTTGGATGCAGGACGCTGGTACTGCATGCGGCAGCCGCGCCGGCTGCGCCACAGCCCGGCCCCAGAGCCATCTTGCTGACCACACCCCTCCGCTGCACCAAGACCTTGTCCCCTCCCTTGCTGTCCCTGCTACTCTGAAGTGGCTCCCAGGTACCCAGCCCCAAGCCTGGGCTGTGCCGCCTGACTCTGGCGTCTGGGCCCCTGGCGTCCTGGCTCTCCGGCTGCCCAGGGGTGCACCGGGATCTTTCCTGGGTGCTGCCGTGGGTGCTGGCTCCCAGGGTCTGAGCGGGGTGCGGGCTCTCAGCCCCTACGGGAGCCCAGGTCTCCGGAGACTCCGCAGAGCTTTGCTGCCCCAGCCTTGCAGCCCAGGGCGGCTCCTGGGTGCTGGGGCCCCTGCTGGGAGGGTCTCTGCGGGCACTCACCCATGTGGACGGCCACACCTGCCGGCTAAGCCTCCGCCGCAGGGCCCAGGACGGGCAATAGAAGGAAGGCCACAGACCTCCCCGGCTCGGGTGCTCAGAGCTGGGCCCCCAGCTGCCCCCACCCCGCCCCCAGCTCCGGGGAAGCCTCAGGCCGGGAGCTCCTGAGTCGTCTCCAGCTCCTGGCAGGGCTGGCGAGGCCTCTCCCTGCCTCGGGCACCCCGAGCTCCCAGTCTAGGCTGCAGCCCGGGCCACCCAGAGGGTTAATGAGGGAATTAGCACAGGCCTCCCCCTCGCCTCACCTCGCCTCACCCCAGCACCCTCCTGCACACACACCCCTGCTCTGCTGCTATGCCCACGCCAGGCCCGACATTGGCCCTCAGGCCCAGCCGTCCCAGTCCCTGCTGGCCCCATGTGTCACTCCATGTGTGCCCTGACCATAGAGGGAGACCCCTGAGGGTCTCCAGGACAGGCAGAGCTGCCAGGGGGAGGGGCACCCGGAGTCTGGCCACCCCCCACAGTTAGCCACCAGATGGTGACTTCCGCCAGGTACCCCCAGATGGCAGCACCATGTGGCAGGGACTCGGGCTGGGCTGGGCTGGCCTCAGGTCGTGCCCACCTGCGCCCACTCTGCTCAGCCTGCCCAAAGTCCAGCAGGTGCCGAAGCTACCTGAGTGGCACGGCGCCCCAGCCAGGGCGGTCGTGATACCGTCCAGGGCCCGAGCCCCAGCCCTCCCCTGCCTGCACCCCAAGGGCACCCTCCCAGCTCTGGGGCAGTGAGCAGTCACGCACAGGGTCTTGTCTCTGCCCCTGGCACCCAACTCTAGGCCAGGTGCACAACAGGTAACCGGGGGCAGGGACAGCGGGCCAGGGGCACCTGCCCAGCCCCTGAGAGACAGTGGCCGAGGTGGTGGGCAGGGGCCGGCAGGTGCCCACGACCAGCCTGGGTCAGAACAGACATCCCTCTCTCCCCCCGCCCTCCTGCTGGGACTGTCACACCCCTGCTGTTGCAGCCAGCGCCGTGAGTCCCAGGACCCCTGTCTCCCAGACCCATTCTAGGGTTGTAAGCAGAGAACTTCGTGAGGTTTCCAATTAACTGAATTCCAGGGAGATTTATTTCCAACATTATTAATAAAGTCTCATGCCTCCTGTAACTCTCAATCGCTACTTAATTAACTTGGAATTGGTGCATTGTAAGAGGCAGATTAAACCTGGTTCCAGGCAGGGGCTGGTGGATCCGCTGAGCCCGGGTGTCCCGAGGGAGAGAGCCGGACTCTCACGGGTGTGTGTGACCTGGGTGAGTGACCGCTGGGCCTCAGTGTTCTTGGCTGCGGGTCCTTGGGGACCTGGGGTAGATGCTGTTTTTATTTGTAGACAAACACAGGAGGGCCCTCCGGTGGTTAATTTATAATGATGCGGATGATGTTTATTTTTGTCTGAAGATTTATTTTACTTACCTGAAAGGCAGAATTACAGAGAGAGGGAGAGAGAGAGATTTTCTTTCCGTGAGTTCACTTCCCAAATGGCCATGATAGCTAGGGCCGGGCCAGGCCTAAGCCAAGAGCCAGAAAATCCATCCAGGCCTCCCACGTGGGCGGCAGGGGCCCAAGGACCTGGGCACCATCTACTGCTGCTGTCCCAGGTGCATTAGCAGGGAGCTGGATTGGAAGAAGAGCAGCCGGGACTCGAACCAATGCTCTGATATGGGGTGCAGGCCTCACAGGCAGCGGCCTAGCCTGCTGCACCATAGTGGCAGCCCTTATCCTGTTAGAGAGAGAGAGAGAGAGAGACCTTCCAAGGCTGGGACAGGCGGAAGCCAGGAGCCAGGAACTCTAACTAGGTCTCCCGTGAGTGACAGGGACCCAAGGACTTGGGTGCGCCTGAGCAGAGAGCTGGGATTGCAAGCAGAGCCTCCAACATGGCACTCAGGTGTCTGGCACCCCCCACGTGATGGCTGAGTGTTTGGGACATCTTGGCAGAGCCCCAGGGTGCCCGGATGTTACCGCTCTGGGTGCGAGTGAGGGTGTCTCTAGGTGAGACGGAATAACCCACTCCCTAGTGCACGGGCGGGCCCCATGGGGCCAGTGCACAGGCTCCTGCGTAGAACCTGCGAGCTGAGCAAGAGGAGGTCCTCCGGCCGCACTGCTGAGCTGGGGCCTTGATTGCTTCCCTGCCTTTGAACTTGCCCTCGGGAACTTGTGCTGTCAGCTGGAGCCCACACCGTCCGCCCATGTCTGCAGCCGGCTCACGGCCTCTGCTACAGCTTGCAATGTCTCGGCCTCCTTGGCCATCTGAGCCAATTCCCTATAATCAATCAATCAATCAATCTCTCTCTCTAATATGAGGGTGCTTCAGAAATGAATGGAGGCGGCATTTAGCATAATACTTAAGATGCCCACTTCCTGGGGCTGCCTGCTGCACAGGCATCCCATATGGGTGTCGGTTTGAGTCCCGGCTGCTCCTCTTCCAATCCAGCTCTCTGCTGTGGCCTGGGAAAGCAGTAGAAGATGGCCCAACTGCTTGGGCCCCTGCACCTGTGCGGGAGACCCGGAAGAAGCTCCTGGCTTCATCCTGGCTCAGCGCCGGCCGTTATGGCCATTTGAGGAGTGAACCGATGGAAGGAAGACCTCTCTCTCTGTCTTTCCCTCTCTCTATCTCTGACTCTACCTCTTAAATAAATAAATAATTAAAAAGGGGGGGGAGACGCCCACCTCCCACCTCCGAGTAGCTGGGCTTGACTCCCACTGGCGCCTGCTCACGCAGACCCCTGGGAAGGCTCAAGGTTCCTGCCACCCACCTGGAAGACCTGAATCGAGTTGCTGGCTCCTGGCTTCAACTCAGCTCTTCCCTGGGCCTGGCCTGCTCTCTGGAGACCAATTTAATACTCAGCCTTGTGGGGAGATAGGGGGGAGGCACGGTCAGGGTGAGGCCAGTCGTTGGCTCCTGGAGACTGGAGACCCAGGGCAGAAGTCGGGGGACAGGAGCCTCCAGCCCACCTTCCTGGGGGGCACACACCAAGGAGTTGGAAAGAAGTGGGAGCTGTCCAGGTGGGTGAGGAGGCAGAGCAAGGCGGGCAGGGGTCGGGGGGCAGTAGCACGTGCAGAGGTCCTGTGGTGAGAAGAGCTGAGGAAACCAGAGGCTGTTGGAAGTGGCCCCGGGTGGGGCTGGGGACAGGTGGGCTTTGTGGCCTGTTGGTGGCAGAAGCTACCATCCCAGGAGGGAGG